TTTTTTTTTTTTTTTTTTGACAAAATGATATATTTTAAGAGAAAAAAAAGGCAATGATGATTTTAATTGGAAAGGTAGCGTCCTGTGTCATGTCATAGACAATGACAATCATCAGCAGCATTATTAGGACTGTCATGTGATCAGCAGTGTGAAAAGGTGACTCTGGGCGGCTCCACTGACAATAAACACTCACCTAAATAAACCCTGCTCTGTTTGAGTGTGTAAGTCTCTTTGATTCACAGTTAATAGTCCTAACTAGTATTAAAATTGCCACATATCAATATCCTGTATCCTGTCATGTATCAATAAATCAAAGGCCTGTTTGTTCAAGCCACAGACCTCACAGTACAGTCAGATATATGTGCTAAATAATAATATAAAACTATTTTCCTTTAAATAATTGTCCCTTTTTATACATCTGACTAATTGCTGACACCATAAAAAGCTCAAAGAATTTCGGACTGTGTGTGCGAGCATATTTTACATTCTTGTGAAGACTCTGGTTTGGAAAATTTGAATCCATTCCAACATTTCCATCTCTCAAACGAGCCCCTCTTTCCCTTTTTGCACAACACAAATTGTCAATTTGTTAAGTAATCAGTAATAAGCATCTCCTTTTTCATATGGATCAGTTCGTGGAACAAAAAAAGTAGAGCGCAGGCAATTTCTGGGCATATCATGAGATTACATCCGTTTGACAGTTGCGTTATTCTATGTGGTCTCCATGGCAACAGTTTGGGTGAGGCCTCCAATAAAACCAACCTCAGCTGTCATCTCTTCACCTAAAAGCTTTGTAATTGCTCTCATTTGCATACTACAATTAAGTGTGTTAGCTCACAGCAAGAACAATCAACCTCCACTAAAGACTGGGGATAGTATAATTATTATATCAGTGGATTTGTATAAAACATTACTGACGAGCCTTTGTTTGACGTCGCTGTTGTACTGTCAGGCTAGTTTTACCGCTTATTTTCATAAATATACATATTTCAAAGGCAGTGATGGGTAATGCATAGGCATGCTAGTTAAAATGTTGTGATTACCGTCTTCAATCAGAGCTTCTGTATCGCTTTATGATCTCTGAAAAATGTCAGTCTCATTCTGGAAATTATCATTTAGGTTCCTTGGTTTCTGGCAGCCAGTACAGTGAAAGATACTTTTATTAATTTTTGATAGGATGCTTTTTGACTCAGCGGTGCACTTGACTGGGTAGAAACAGAGTGATTTTCAGTAGTGGGAGACAGTTTGAACCGCTGATTGAATGGAAAGGTTATGTGCATTGAGCTCTAAGCATTGTTTCTCTTTCCCTCAGATGCGCAGAGACTGTAATGAAGAGCTCTTGAACTCACAGTCAGAGAAGCTGTGACAGGAGTTCAGGAGGATGCCTCTTTGGCTCTGCTGGACGTACAACACACACACACCGGTACACACTCAGGCACACACGAACCCAGAGACAGCAGCAAACAGCTAATGTCAGACAGAAGCTGTCAATCACAAATCACTCGCTTTTTATTTAAAGTGTAGGAAAATATCACAAATCTACCTCTACACTATTGTTGTTTTATTTTCTGTTTTTCAATATTAGTAATTTTTGGGCTTTGACATGAACTTAAAAACTTAATATGAGCAACATCTTCAGGAAGGCGTACCTTGAGCTATAAAAGCAGCCGTATTTCCAGCCTGCCGAGCTTCATAATCAAGCCTGTGATACTGCGGGAAAACATCTTTGGGCAGGTACATTTTATTTGGAGTTTTTGCCTCCAGGCCCTGAATTGAAATGGAAGACCAAATGGCACAAATGGCAAGTGCACCATTCCTAGCTCTCTGCAGCCTCCCAACACAAACTGGTCAAGCAGAAATGAGACCTGCATCAATTTTAATTTGTATTTATCCTGCTGATGACCTGCTCCTTTCACTCCGCCGTTGGAGGCACAAATTACACCCATCATAACTCTGATTCTAACGGCCCACGGTGTGCTATCAGAAAATGAGCATGGTTATATACCACCGGCGGGTTCAAGGTGTCACAACACAATTATACAATCATGCAACCTGACGAGCTCTGACTGGTCGCCGTTGTATGACAACTAAGCTGGAGGGCCACGCTGTCTGTCACATGCAGGCGGGTAAGATAAGTTCACTGAAGAGTAGACTGTGCCTCAGTGTCTGCTTCTCTCTATCTAAATCAGTTAAATATCACAGCTGCTGCAGTCTAGGGTGATTTTTGGGGGGACGTATAAAGACCCACATCTGAACTTATCTTTGACTTGTCAGGTTTTTTTTATCGACACAGCAAATTGAGCCTGCAGAATTCGTACAAAAAAAAAACATAAATCAAAGTGATGTAACATTGGCTGCGTGTGTGTATCATTAATAAAATTAAGTCATCAATGAAGAAAGTTTAAACCCTTATACATACTGCAGTGCTGTGCAGCAGCTCACTGTGACTTTCAATCAACCCTAATCCTTGTATCTCATAAAACTTAGACCAAAAAAATGAAGGGAAGCTCCCCTGCCTGGATCCCCAGCGTGCTCTCAGTGTCAAGCCATTAGGCTGTGTGAAATGAGGTGCCACTCATGAGTTATAATGCTGCACATCTATAGATGCAATGGTAAAATATAGCCCTTCAATGCTCAGTCCTCTGTTGGAGTTGTGAAAATAATTCTGCTCTGATAGCGGTCCATCCCGCAATATCCCAATTCAAAGTCGCAAAGATATGAAGAGGGCTGTTGGATAAATTCAAAATAATCCACTTCAGGATAGCTGCGAGATTAATGGAAAAATGTGCGTGTTTGCTTGTGTGTCCGTGTGCGCGCACGGGCTAACGTGTTTGTGTCTGTGTGAGAATGCAGACTGATGAATAAAATATATCAAAAACCACAAAACTTTTACATATTACAGGATGATATTCGTAATAAGATTATCAACCTTGGCGATGAAAAGAGATGACACACAGAGGAATAAGAAAAAATGACAAATGTTTGCCCTCCCAGAAGGAATAAAATGCCCAAACTATTCCTTTAGAGCCAACAGAGACGTTGGATATAAGCTTTCAGGAAATCTATTTGTGGGGTAAAGTACGTTCATTGTGTCCAATTTAAAAGCACGTCAATAGAAGACACACGTCTCCATAACCAGTTGTTACAGAACTACAATCAATGAAACTTATTCTGACTACTGCTATACTTAGAGGCACATAACAAAAGCATGCTAGCAGCAGTCTGATCTACTGAAATATTTACCCAGAGGTACTGTAGATGTAACAATGATAAGGAAATAAAGCTAATAAGTGTCACTTTGATGTGACAACAAATTATACATGGCTCTATCAGATCTCATTTCCATTCCACAACACAGAGACAGAGAATACCCTGAAGCATGGCTGTTAATGGGAGCCTCTATCAGCCATCGTGGAAAGCCTGCCTCATTACTCACTCCAGCACAACTGTGCCCAGGGTGGTCGATTTCCCCAACGGACACTGGTTCACAGACCAGAGACGCACTGTGAGGCATATGACTTGTTTTTCAATGCACAGGGCACAGATGCCGTCATGCTGCAAGTGTGTGAAATCAGGAAATTTATTTAAGCAAAAAAACAGTTCTGAATTAAAGAGAATTAACCGAATAAAAACACAAAAATAAAATATACAGTTTGCTGCTTATTTTGTGTCTAACTTAGAATTATTGTGTCAATACATTTTTTCTTTTCCAGGCTACAGAAAATTGCCCCATGTTGCTATAACCAGCTACCACTCATCTTCATTTCCATTATACGTCTGATGCTGTACAACCTGATTGTTATTCAGAGAGAATTTTCCATTCGGGAGGGCGCCAAATACTCACATAACCTTCTATCCCTTCCAACCTGTGCAATGAATATTTTAAAACCTTAATGTATATTGGCCATCTGAATTTCCAGCCCGAGTCTTTCCCTTTGTCCATATAATCTCAGGGACCCCTTTTCCTACCATTGTGGTTGTAACTGAGAATGCTGTCACTCGGGTTATTTCTCTTCACAATTTGCAATCACCGCTGCTCTCCGGTTTTACTCTCTCTACCCCTGTTTCTAGCCTCCCTGACAAAGTCAATAGGGGGCATCCCTCATCTGTCAAAAACAAACATCAGAATACTTCTCGTGCTATTTTCCTCTTTCTCTCGTTCCCTCTCTCTCTTTGTGCAGCCTCTCTCGCTTGCCTGTTAGGACACACTGTAGATCCTCAGTTCGTCGCTCACTGCAGATTATGAGATTATTAGTCGGGTTGCTTGCTGACCCTAATCAGCATAAGCGAGTAAGAGCAGTCAAAACATATAAGGGAGAAAGTCCTGAAGAAGTAGCTGACCCTCTGGTGACTCTCTCACCCAGAGGGGTGGCAGCAGCGCTTGCTGTGTGTGTTTCAGTGCAATCTGTGGAGCAGATGGCTGGAGTCCTGGGCAGAGAGCAGCAGGTCTCAGCCTGCATGTCACCAGGATGATGTGAGCTGGCTCCCTCCGAGCTTTAGTTAATACCTTCCTGTATCACAGACTTGTTAAGGGTCTGGGCAAAACTCAGCGACTCTTTACAAAAGAACAATACTCTGTGTCTCTGTCACTCTCTGTTTTGCTGTCTCTCCTGGGTGGCAGTAAATGTTTTCTAGTAAGTATCACCTTGAACCTCTTCTAATATACATACAACCATATATAGATATACACATTTATTCATTAATTTTTTTTCTAGTTGGGTAGTATTATTTCGATTTATAGTATTATTGAATGGGCAATAAAATGCTATAACATATTTAGAATAATATAGAAGATGTCGTGTACATTTCATCAGGAAATGGATTAAAAAAACAGATGGCAAAATCTGTTTTTTGGCAAATTATATTAAAAAAAAATTGGATTAAATATACAAAAAATAAAACATAATTATATAAAAAAATCTAATCCTACCCACTGATTTCCCACATTTTCTACACTGGCTTAATAAATCCAGGAATATGAAAGTGATTGATTATTATGAAACCAATTAAAGATGTAAAGCAATTTGAATTGCCTGAATAGCATACCCTCCAACTGCAATGTCAAAGAGTAATTATGGACATCAGTGTCTCTCTGTTATACCACAATGTCCCCGCCTAAGTGATTTTACATTGACTTTGATTGAGAAGTTTCCTGGTCACGATAAAAACCATTAAAGCGACCTCACCAGCAAAGGTAAATAAACATTTGCTCGACTTTTGTTCCCGCTGCCACTTAGTCTTTAATCTTGCTTACTGGCAGGTAGGAGCAGGCGAGGCCGTGCCTTGTGAGGTGCAAGTGTGTGCTGCCTCTCCTCCTCTTCTCTCTCTCTCTCCGTCTCTCCCTCTCTCCTCATATTATATAAAGAGTGGCAGCAGGCAGAGTGACAGACTGCCCCAAGAGATGACACCTGTCACTGAGGGGAGTGCTGCTAATCTACAAGCCTCATTTTGTTTGAACTCTTTGTCACCTTGCCGTCAAATCCTCATCTTCTCAGTCACTGCCAGCTTCACTCCCCTCTGCTTCTCTGCTCGCTCTGCTTTGCCCAATCTCTCCACAATATACACTACCTCCACCAGCACCACACACACACACACACACACACACACACACACACACACACACCATGCTCCTCCAGATAAACCACTGTTCTCTGGTGTAACATATTCCTCCCTTCAAACATTTATTTGTTGAATAAGTGTAATACAAGTACATGCTTGCATTTTTTGTGTGTTTTCTAGGTTATTTATAAAAAGATACATAATGAGTACTTTTTGAGAGTCTAAAAAAGTAAAACATTGACAGCTCAATGTCTTTTTCAGACGTGTAAAATTGCTTATGTGCCCCGAGAATGAGAAGATGATGCGTCCTTGTTCAAATGTTTTTATTTTCCGAACAAAGCCCCATTCATTCACATTGAGATTTGTCTAAGTTAAAGTGATCTGAATAGAAATGCAGTCTGGAGTGGCCCAGTCTCTATGGAGCAGCACACTCCACCCCCTGGCCAAATATCTATATTGTCCACTTCTACAGACTGTGCTTTGTAATTATAATATAATTCATTATGTCTATGCTGCATGTGTCACAAAGGACGAGTCCTCCCCAAAATCCTCCTGCGCTGTTCAGGCTGACCGAACACATTCTTGTTCCCATTTTAAAGCCCGCGGCTTGGAAATACCCTCTCACACCCCCATAAACAATGGATTTTCCTATTTTGCTTAATTGAGATATCACCCACAAATCTGACAGCTCACACCGGCCCCTAACTCAGGCCGAGGGAAATCTATATAGTGAGCGGAAATGGAACGGAAAGAGAGCCAAATAAGATTAAATGACTAACAAAATAATGTTGTTAATATTTATTATTATTCAATATTATTATAAAAGTAATTATAACCAGAATAATAATGATAATTATCGTTGGTGTTAATATGCCTCATTAGATGCCTCTCAGAATGTAGAAAACCTCACTATTTGCTGCATCCATCAAAAATAAAATCATTAATATAGAAGCTGTGGTAAACATTCATGTTAATGTTGAGTTTCTCCCTTTTTTTAAAGATAAATGTGATGGCAGAAAGAAAAAAAAACACATCATATAATCCAAGTTGCAGTGGAGGCATCAGCCAACTTCTTTAAATGCCTCCATTAAGTGGAATTATCTTTTCCAGACACATTTGGTATGAATGCATCCAAAAATCCCCATTTCATTTGGATTGCATGGGGTTTAATTTAATCCTTTTGCTTATTAAAAAAATAAGATGCAGCATCTTTAACAATAGAAAGGCTAGTCTGCATCGAACACAATGGCTAAGGTTAAATTGAAGGTTGTGTATACCCTTTGCTGTATTAGAAGAACATTCATATTCAAATAAAAGCATGAAGCCCTGGTTCATATTGCATAGCAGTGTGCAATTGTGCATTTGTACGCACAAAGCAAAACTGCAACGCAGTTACAATTTTTCTGATATTAAAATGAACAACGCTCTTAACCGTTTTTTCATTTTGCAGATGCTGAAACATTGTGTGAGCAATCATTTACTCCTATCCAAGTACTTAATGCCTCTATAAGTACTTCAATATCTAGTACTGCACTAACATACAGAAAAAAGACTATCTGTGCTATGGAAAATATTGTATTAGTTATAATTCTTCACACATTTCCTCACTTTCTGATTGCTTACTGAGACCATAACCACAGCACTCAGCTACAGCCTCACAGTCCAGTCTTAAAGCCACTCACTTCACACAGTCTAAGTCATGTTAGCAACTGCAGGGCTCAACAATGAGGACTGCCCATGCAAGTAAAATCCCACGTCAGGCTAGTAAATCCAGCAACTCACTGATTGGGCAGTATCACAGTATTAAGATATTCTAAGATGTTTAGAAAACCCAAAGTTATGATTTTCAATACTGTAAAAAAAATACAGATGCTTCTCTTTCTGTTAAACTTATACGGAGATGCTGTATTGAGGCGATGTAGTGCAACGTGTGCACCACTAGAGGTCAGTCTCCAATGGTGGAACGGGCAGCCGAGCTGAGAGAGGTGGGGATAACATTACAGGACTAGTAAAAACACGGTCAGCAATGCCAGAGAAAGACAGCAGTGAAAAATAGTGTGTAGAGCCGGCATATATTTAACATCGTATAAATTAATATTAGGGATTTATTTCGACCAAACCAGAGTTGGTGATTTTGGAACAATGGAAAGCTAACCAAGGTGGTTGTGGTGAGTTTTATTTTGTTTGTGTGTTTGACAATGTGTCAACAAGGCAGTTAAGCTAGTCTTAGTTAGGAAGGGATAAACCTATATTTTGAAGATGTATGGTTGTATTTTTCTGTTTAATACGGAAAATAGGTGTAAAAATATTTCCTTTTTTGACATTTGAGTTCATGGCTTGAACAGATCTCCCTCCTAGCGGAAACTCTGAGGGATGGCAGAATAAATAATGACAATGCCCTGGTGAAATGTTGGGAAGGTATAAAGATATGAAAAATAGATAACGCCCAATCCTAAGAATTAAACACATGATTTTGTTTTTTCCTGGAGCTGTTGATAAAGGTAGCTAAGTAATGACCCATCTCACTTCCTTGTCATCTCTGTTGAGAGTTGCACATGTGCAGCACTGATTTGGCACATGCGAGATAACGGCAGCAGGTACAGACAAAGTTTATGAGCTTAAGCGCAAGCAAGCATTTCAGTTATGGTAGCAAGATTTTTATTTCGGTGGCGTTAGAGGATCTGGGCAAAACTCCCAACTTTTTATTGTGCAGCTTGCCCCAAATTTAAGAGCAAGGCCTATAATACAGAGTTATTTTTCATGACAATTAACTTTAGTTTTTGTTGTTTTTTGATAACCACTAAAAAATAAAATAGTTTGTAAAGGGGCAAAAAATGACATTGGGTGAGTAGATTTCTTTTTTTTTGGCATTTTGCCTTTGTTAGATTGTGGAGAGAGATGGGACGGAAGAGAGCGGATGACATGCAGCAAAGGGCCGGAGTTGGAATCGAACCTGCAGCCACTGCGGCAAGGACATGGCCTTTGCACATGGGGCACCTGCTCTATCAGGTAAGCTTGCGGGCACCGCCGGCAAGTATATTTCTGTCTGATTTCTGACCCACTTGCCTAATCAAGCGAATAAAAAAATAGGATGTGCATTGTTCCACTTAGTTGATCTAAAAATACTTTATACTGCCCGGTAGATTTAGAGCCTGATGTGTATGAGATGTGTCCCTGATAGTTGAGGAAATTTAAAATGAAACAGTGAGCAGAACTTCTCCTTCATCAACAATGTACCAATCATTGACAGCATTTCTGAAACTGCTGTAGACGCACTCCTTTTAGGGCCAAAAAACATATTTCACATTTGAATAAGCCTTGTAAGTTGTTACTTTATTACATGCTCAGTATACTTGCTAGCTTTACAAAAGGATGCTAAAATATACAAATTTAAGCTCTCAAATTCAATTTAATCAACATTTATTTTATTCATTTCAACACATTTTTTTTTTCATATTAATGTAGAAAATATCTGTCAATATTAATAATGGCTAACAAATGCAATCCGTGACTATTGACAGTGATAACTCAGAAGCGTTTATAATTTCAACCATGTTTGCTCATCAGACAGCAGAGAAGAGAGTGTTTGTAGCCAGCGTGCAAAGCAAAATTGAGGATCAAACATTTTCCATCAGTTTTCTCAGTTAAGACAGAAAAAAAGACTCAAAGTTAAGAAAAAAAAAAGGTAGTGACAGAATGATTAAGAATACCGCAAAGACTATAAAGATAATTTTGACATCTGGTTGTCGCAAGCAGCATATGCCAATGTGAATTAAAAATGATATCATCAGACCTGGTAGTTAAAGTTGTCTGGTTCTCTCATGGACATTTACGTTCACCTGTTGTGGTTTTACAGCAGGATCAGGGAACTAGTGAAGTCAGCCAACCAGCAATTCAACTTCAGCTTCAAACCAAAGTGACTGTCAAATGTGCCACCAGTTATCAGAGTCAAGCTTCAGCCCATCACTGGTAACCATAAAACATTTTGCGACATCGACAGTTTTTGTAGTCAGCTATTTGTTCAGTTATATGATGCCATAAATGGTCCTAGCAGAGTGAATAAAAAGGTGAAGGAAACCAGTTCATTGACGAGAGACACAAAATTGATGAATCTGACACAATGCAAAGTAATTTTATTACATCCAAAGCTTTTTGAAGTTTCTGCCAAAATATTCAGCTGCACCGTAGCTAAGGCAATGTCTTCTGCAAACATACCCTCCGGAGACCCTGCGTCTTCATACAAGGACATCACCTTTTGGCTTTGCTGCCCCATGTAATACATTCTGCCATTGAACATTCAACTTAGGCCTGTTGTCCTTGTTTGTGGACACTTTTTTTGTGCAAGTGGAAGTAAAAGCACAATACACTACTATGTGTAAAAACAAGATGGCAGCCATCTCTGCCAAGTAAGTCTGCAGCCGATCCCAACACAAAAGTGGACAAGGTATCAAACCTGATCACATTTTATGGTTGAAACTTGTTTACTAACATTTTATAATGTTTGTAGTTTGATATTGCATAAAAATGTGACCAGTTTTAGCAACAGGAACAAGCTAAGGCATTGTCATTTATTATCGTCTCATCTGTGGACATTGGGACTTGATTGTTGCAGCATTTCACACAGACCAATCAGGTGTGACAGACAAAAATGACATTCCTAGCTTGAAGTATGGAGCAAGGAGAATTCACACTGAGTTACAAAATGAGTAAATCACAATATAGTTTTTGCACAGCCAAGTTCAGGCATTGAACAACTGTTTTACCAACAGTTTTAGATTTGAACAGTGACCTCTAACTCATAGAGTTACAAAACATTGAACAAATGTTGCATTGTTTTTAGTTTTGTTTTTGCACAACAATGTTCGGGTATTGAAATAAACTGTTTTATATTTAATTACACACTTATGGCTGTTAAACATAAAGCCATTGTCCCCATATGAGGACATCATTTAGGACATCTATGAGGACATCTGCTTTCTGTTCATTGCTTAGTTTTTTTTTTCATAGTTATCAGATCCTACTGATCCCAAGTAGCTAGGAGAAATTAAAAATGCAAACCAAACAAAAGCTCAGTTCTCAGCAGGATACACCTAGGTTGAAATATGTTGAAAGTCATGGCAGAAAATCCTTATAAACCTGTAACTTAAGATGAACCTAAAATGATGTTATTTTGAGTAACAGGTGTCACAAAGTATCACTACTTAATCTGAATAGAGATAAATGACAATGTTTTCAATTCAATTTAATTCAGTTTAATTACTTTTATTGTCATTGTAAATGAGTACAATAAAAATTCAATGCACAGAATAAAACAGAAATAATATATAAATAATAAGACACACGCATAAGACATGCACGCCCACATGTGCACACATATGCCAACATATGCTGTGAACATTATATAAGTTAGAATTATTTACACATAAATAAATGAATAAAGTTATTGCACATCATGTTAGTATAAATATGAAATATTACTGGCTGTGTGATTTCAGTATAGCGTTCATTTTGTAGCCTATGTGACTGGTTAGACTACGTGAAACAGTGTTGACAAAATATCTATTTATCAATACAAATCAATTCTGAATATTTACAACAGTGTCAGCGTTTGTTTTCTGCAGTATTGAGACACGACTATCAGCTGTGCGTCTTTGGTCTCATATTGATAATGTTTACTACAGTCATTCTGCAGTTCTCTGCTACTAACCAAAAAAAAAAAAATATTGTCATGTTATAGCCTTGCTAGATCTTTTAACAAATATTTAAAATTTAAAGCCCATACTTGACACTTTTCCCCGTGGTATCAAAAATTGTATTGAATTTTGATGTTTTTTTGCGGTATTTTATCAGAGTTAGAAATTCCAGTATCATGACAGCAATGTGAAACAGCAAGTTGTATTCAGAAACTCCACAATGTCGACATGAGCTTTAATGACAATTTAACAATGTAATATTTAAGTTGAAACACCAAACAAATCCAAATGAACAACACATGCCTTGAATTTAAGTTATTTATGCCACCATGACAACTAAAGGTCATGACAACCATCAGAATATATCTCGTCCTGTTATAGATGTTTAGATCTGCTGTGTTCTAATTACAGACAGAGATATAACATTTACTAACCAACTAATCACATATAGGTACCTTGTGAACATCTTTTAATGTCCTAACTTCTAATCAAACTTGTGTCCAGCTGCTACAACTCAGTTCATATATATAATGTTTTCTTCTTGATATATTAAAGAATTACGCACACACACACACACAATGAATTCTTACCAGTCCAAATAACATCCATTTTAGCCTAGAGAGGCTCTACCTTGTGATGCATTGTCTTTCCCATCCCCCTGTCTTTGTGTCTGGGGAAAGTCACGTGGCTGTTGAGAAACAAATAATTTCACCAGCTATATTCAGAGCATGTCTACGAAGAGCACAGCAGCTTGTCTTGGGAGTCAAGAACTAGGTACAATGTCTTCTGCGATGGGATGGCCAACACAAATGGGCTGGCGCACCTATCCAATTAACACCCTGCCTGCCAATCCCTGTCAGGTCACACGCTTACTCCCATGGCATGCTCTACCTGTCTCTGCTGCTCTCAACACATGCCCAGCTCCAATATAGAATTAACGCCACTTTTCACCTGGTCACGCTGACATGCCATAGATTAGACTGGTGCAGCATGGAGATATGCCAGGCACTCCAAATGAGGGCACCTGGGGTTAAGATTTCAAATGCAGTGGGGCTATTGTTTTGCCACTCCTTTAATATTAATTAAACTCTGAGGTGAAAATGTTCTTTACCAAACTACTGCTTAATTCCTCCACAAGTGAACACCTGATAAGAGATTTTATTTAATGACCACCTGGATGTTACAACTTATCACACCAGTTAAGACCTTAATAAGACCAATAAGCTACTGGGGCTAAGTGGTTCTTTTGTATCGTACAATTTCTTAGACATATGCGTTTTTATACAATACCACAAAGGCAAAGATGATTTTTTTTTTTTGCTTTTGCCCTAATCCCTAAACAAAATACAAATGATTAGTAGCCCTGCCAGAAACACTCCGCTTTTCATTCTGTAATATTGCAATGAGATCTTGATAGCACATGACAGCACATAATTTCTGCACATATTTTTTATCTGATTATTTATTTGTATTTGCATAAATAGTCCAGCTATGTAGAGTTCTAGAGGGTCAGTTTAACATAGTTAAGGTAGTTAATAATGCCAATATTTCTTATGTGGTCGTGCAGTTTCATATTTGTCAACAGCTGTTGGATGTTGGAGCTTCCACAACATCTGTTCGATGTGTGGTGCTTGAACCCTGAAAACTGATAATGAAATATAAGTTTGTCCAATAGTTAATAAATACAGCTGGCAAACAGCATTTCTTGGGGCAAAACAAAAGTGCAGCAAGCAGAGTACACTGCAAACAAGTATGGTCCACTTACAATTTGTGTCTCCTCTGCCTGGTTGTAGTCCTCTTTCATGTTGAACCAGACAACAAACAAACAAACAAACAAACCTTTGTTTGTTTGTTTGCATGCACAACAATGTTCTTGAGTATTACACAAAATTTTTGGTCAGAAGTCCCTAAATATATGACAGAAAGATTGTACAGAACCATGAAAGACTTGTGTATTGTTCTCCAGCTAGTGATTCAACAGACTTGCCATCTAGGTTTAGTTAAAACAAATGCTACTCATTCTCTCGTAGACTCTTATGTCATGCTGCAGCTGTAAAATTTTAGCTACCAGGGGGCAGAACATATAATCACCTTGTAAACTGTTACAACGCACATATGAGAAAACATTTGCCCACCTATTGCAAACATGAGGCAACATTGTCGTCCCATTGAAGTCGTGTTTCTGGCCTCTCAGCAAATCCGTTATTTGATGTCCTCTTTGCTCTGTTTTTGGTCTCCACCATCTTCTGAGAAAACTATTTGCAAGAGATTTGATTTTTACAGTAAAATGAAATTTGGTGTATAATCAAAACGGTG